TGTCTTAAAAAAAAAAAAAAAAAAAAGTAAGCCTGGCTGCTCTATGGATAATGATTTTATAGTAATAGTGGAGATGGAAATAAGTGGATAGATCAGTTATATATTTTAGAAGCAGAAATGACAGTTTGCTAATAGGTTAGCTGTGAGTTGTAAGGGAAAAGAAGAATCAAAGATGACTTACCAGTTAGGGGCTAGAGAAGCTAGGTAGATGGTAGTAACATTTACTGTAGTGGTTAAGAGAGTCTGAAGGGATCTACCCAAAGAAATGACATAATCAGAGCTGTGCTTTGGAAAATAAACCAGGCAGCAGGCCTATCATGAGCATGAAGACTAAGTATGAGACTAATACAACAGGTAAGTCGTTATATGGCGTGTTTGAACTATGACAGTGATAGAGGAAACGAAAGTGAGAGATACTTCTCTGAATTGTCAACACATTGATTTGGGGAATCAAGGGGAGAAAAAGCCAAATAAGTAGGCTCATATTTCAAGCTTGGGTTACCTGGTGGAACCATATAGGAAGAGCAGATCTATGGGAAAATGTAATGGGGTGAGTTAGAGACATATAGAACTTGAGGTGCCAGCAGCTCATCCAGGTAAGGATATCCCATGGGCAGGGGGATATAGGTCTGTATGTCAATGAGGCCAGAGTTGGAAATAGTGACAGTTGTCTACATTGACGTGATGGCTGAAACCACAAAAGTGGGCAAGATCTCTCAAGAAGATCGTATAAAGAATGAGAACAGAACCTTGTAAATGCTTACAGTTAAGAAGTGAAAAAAGGCAGGCAGGCCAGAGAAAGAGCAACCAAATATTTAGAAAGGAGGCAGAAAAGCAGGAGAGTGGAGAGTCATGGGAGCAAAAGAAGAGCAGCATTTCAAGGAAGGGATAGTCAACAGTGTCAGATGTAGCAATGCTGGAGAGGTCAGAGAGAATGCTGGAAAAATAATCCTCTCTAGATCTGGCAAAAAAGACAATGCTGGCTGCCTAGGAAAAAGTATTAATAGTTTTGGGCTTGTGGGTGGGGAAAAGTCAGATTGTAAGTGATCTGACAGTCAAGCAAGGAATACAGTTCCCTTGCTTAAGGAGTCACAAGGTAAAAAGAGGACAGGATAATATGACCCTAGCTGGTAGTGACTAGAGTGTCTGAAATAGAAGGATTAATAATATGGAAGTTGAAGATGAAAAAAATGAAAGAATAACAGGAACAAAGAGTGGGAAGTTAGCCAAGGAAATAGAATATAGTGGGTGATGATAGAATTAGATGGGAGCAAGGAGAAAAGATGAGGATACTCACAACAGATACCCTGGTCTTTATCACCTAAGTAAGGTGACTATGCTGACTATGAGGAACAGTATTAAGAATGTCCAAAATGTAGACAAATAAGTTGGCTATTAAGTGAACCTCTGGAAACTCCTAAAAAATTTGAACTTTGATTTAATTCAGGAAAAAACTGTAATT